TCCATCTTTATTAACAGGGGTACAAACCATTATTTCACCATCCTGTTATATTGATTTTCAATTACCACAATTAAGAACGCAAGTGTAACCCACCAAAAAAACAAAATTGCCAATCCATTCCTATTGTTATATATGTTTAGTAATTGGGGGAGTTTTCAATAGGGAGAAGAGATTATGTTTACGCGAAAGGGTTATCAGGTTGGAGTTTTTTTGTAGTCACCCGTCCAAGTTTACATTTCAATGATAACCATATGAGTATTATATAATAATAAATATATATATATATAAATCATATGTCAATGACTTCAAGAGGTCATTCACCCCTGAAACACGGGTGTTAGTATCAGGCAACGCCTGGCAATTTGATATCATAACCCAATTACTGTACTGGTTCATTTTGAGGGTCCCCGTTTCATGGTTATAGAACTCATTACATAAATTATAACTGGTTGCTGGTTTGGAACATGTTTTACTTTTTCCATTCAGTTGGGAATAGTAACCCCAACTGACGAACTCATATTTTTCAGAGGGGTGGCGAAAAACCACCAACCAGTTATAAGTAGTACAACACTTCTGTAAGGCATGGCATTTGGTTTAGCGCTTCGGCGCTTCGGCACAGACGAGTGGATTGCGGCACATTTGATGCACTCCGTTGCATCCACTGAGCGGTTTGATCAAGCGCCGAGCTAGCGCAGTGCCTGTGCACTGCACGGCCCAAGGGGGAAAGTTTCTGTGAAGCTTTGCGATGATGCTATCTTTATGTCTACCCTCTGGTAATGTCTAACATTGAAAACTACCATTTATGATTAGTTGATTTACCCATTTAAAATGGATATTTTCCATAGTTATTTTAATTTACTGGAGGTTATGTCATACGGTATAGAGTCTTAGCAATGCCAAAACCGCCTTGCGGTTGACGACTCTATGATGTTTCATGCGTGCATTTTAGTTGCTTGAATGGATGTATTTTCGTAGTTTCGATTCCAACATTGGAACCCCTTATATCGACGGACTAAAGATGACAGACTCCCATATTTACTGCTTCCTGATGTTTCGTGCAGGTGGTTGTCCTTTTTATTCACTTAGTCGAAGCCACCCAAGTGAAATTTATGTCCTGCAGATCATCGATTTGCCGTTACCGTGTTTTTCCTGTCCCAGTTTCAGTTGATCTGAGATTTTGGGCAGACTGTCTTTTCAGAAAATCTGGAATTTCAGACCAGATTCACTTGATGCAGATACCCCATTTTCATGTTCAGAAAATCTGGGGGTAAAAAACACACTTTCTGCAGGGCCCACTGTGGGAATCCCATGCCATCCACTGCATGTTCCTACCATTTTTTCCCGAAAAAATGGCCATCATTGGATAGAAAAAACGGGGTTCAATTATGTTGAATCACAATTTATTGCATCCATTTTCAGACACATCCCAAATCAATCCATTTTTTTTGTGAATTTGGAGTTGATGAGTTCTAAGTGATATTGTATCCCATGTATCCCCATTATAGTCCATAAATTCCTATGCAATCGATTGTCCCTGCAGATTGCTTTCCCTTCAGCCGTCAAGGTGGCGCCCATTTTGGAGCATCCGGTTGAGTTGACGCTTAGGAAACGACCAATCTACAACCAATCTTTGAAGTCCGACGAGTTTTCACATGTGTTCACCGTTTGAGTGTTGAAATGTCCCTTGTTGATGATAGTCGGTTCCGAGGTTACACTAAACAATATAATATATTGAGAAGTATCACAATCCATGAAGTGACAATCCCGTTCTGAACTAACCAACCATTCTTTATGGGTTCTCCAATAGGTGTCCATTTGTTGGTTATAATATCCCCATTCTGTCCAGTATATCCCGTCACAACCCCCATAAATATATATATATACATATACTGGAATGACATTATATATACATATATCAATATCAATATCAATATCAATATCATTTTACATACACATCTATTTGCATCATATCCACATTTCCCATGATATCATATAAAAAATTCCCATTTTACCAGCGTTGTGATCACTGCTCATTTCTGGATGCGGATCAGTCTGACTGAGCATCGTGGCTATGAGTCAAAACTCCGAAGCCTTTTTATAGGTACCCTTCAAATAGTTGGGTTACTCCCCCCAGTCATATGTTTATTCCCCCAAATATATAGGTACTATTCCCAACTATTCCATCAAATATGTTTGGGTTATTCCCCCAGTCATATGGCTATAACTTGGGTTTTTGTGGTGTTTCGGATGTCAACTTGGTCAACTTGGCCAACTTGGATGCTCAGATGTACAGTGTACAGAAACCACGCCCTTGAATTCGAGGAGTCAATGGCTGATGTGACGGGATTTCTGTTGGATTCAAAAATAGATCCCCATTGGCTTCACCAAGTTTTGGAATATCACATGGACTGTCTTGGTATTTAAGACAATTTGGGTATCACATTGGGATTAAAAAAAAAGGAAGTTAGATCATTTCCAAGTACTATGGCAATCTATGGTTATAATCCTCTGGATGAATATGCGGTTATCTTAATGGATCTTGTGAATGGGGCATGCATGCTCGGGTACAGTTGTCGTCATCCATCGACTTGGTCTTGGTTTGGAAACTTTGCAACTATGTTACTGGTAAGCCCCTGCATGGAAAGCCCCTATAGTAGATGGAAAAACAGTAACAATCCCTACAAAAAATCGTTGAATAAATGTGCGGCATGTTTTTGGCTAGTCGATTTTTATCGAGCAGAGGTTTCCGGCATCAAGGGACCATCCATCGTGGAAAAGAGACACTGGTTATCCGCAGATCAGCTCAGGACAGAGATGTTCATGACAAGTCCTGGTTTGGTCAAACATCCCCATAGATGTTTTTCCCATTAATACCTCCATTTATAAGGGATTTTTCATGGCTATGTTAGTCATAACCAGATGGTAAATCCCCATGTTTGTTGGTTACTGGTTAAATTCAACAAAGTTTGTTGCTGACCCAGGGGTCCCAGGGACCCGAGGGCCGGTCATGGGCCGGGAAATGTCCGAATCCCAGAAGATTTGCAAAGATCACTTTCGATAGACTCTACGATGACTGTTTCTATTCATATATATATAATACATTATAGAATCTGATTGGTGGCTTCGTGGTTTGGTTTTGAAGTGTCAATCATATTTGCGACGATGCTGATGACATTTGTCTTTATAAAGATCACCAATCAGTTGGCCCCCCGTGACAATTTGGTTTCTAAGCCTTGTTAATTACAGTACGAGAAACACGAGTAATTGAAGTTATGTTTGCCATGCAACTTATATATATATATGTTACAAGAGAAACGGTGATACTGTGGATGGAAGAAATCCTGCACCACCTTGGATGGTTGAAACCCTATACATCATGGGGTAAACCATCGATCAACTGGTGATTCGGATTTCTTCCATCCACAAGTACCACCAGCAAAGCTGATGTGTTGCAGCTATGTTTGCCAACTTAGCTATCGTTTAGGGCTTCCACCATCCCCAATATTATTGATGGCAACGGTCACACCATGCGCTTTTGACTCCCCGTTGACTGTCAACACGCCATCAACTGTCATGATGGGCAAAATAGTGCTGGACCGGGTGAGGGTTCTCATCACACAGAAAAGCAGCGAATACGCACGTAGTATTTGTGTACTATACTCATTGTATAGACATATACATACACATATGTATTTGTATATATATATATGTATATGATGTACAAGTATGTATGTTTTTATACCATATGCCAGAGTGTTAGTACACTTATATGATATATTTGGTTCCTACTCCTTCCAATGTGGGAGTTGAAGTCAGTATTCAAAGACAATGTTTCACATCAAAATTGGTTCTTGAGTCGTTAAGCAGAAAAGGTTCCGTAATTCTGTGGAGCCATGCCAAAATCGATGGGTAAACATGGTAGGTCACAGGTACCCTCAGGTGTCATCAAGCATGGCCAGCTGGTGAATCCCAAAATCAAAATCGAGGTGTTCATGGGGAACAAAAACATCTATGACTAGGAGATGTCCAGTAGCTACATTAGATTACCAGAGGGTAAACATGTTAGTTGGCACAAACTTCCCGGTATTCACGCCACAAATTGCAGGCCGAGTTGAACGCTGAAACATGGCATTAGACACGAGCAATCCCTGAAGACCCATGTGCACCGGGTTAAAAATGGCAATTTGAGACATACGACGTTCGAACAACCTGGTCAAACATCGTCTTGCACAAATGCGATTGTAGTTTTCAGGGGTTACACCCCAGTGTACCCTTTTAATCACACCCAGAATCAGTTTCAGAGAAGATCGGAGAAAAACCCACAAGATTGACCCTCCGGTAGTCAAACATGGCAATTGAAAATCCCCTATAAATAGATGTTTTAACATGTTTCAACGAAAAAGTAAACTATAAATTGAAGATTGTCCCTTGCCATGTTTGATGGTTTCAAGACCATGCGTTTCGTGTCCATGTTTCCAAAACACACTATTATCCCATTGAATCGAGTTTTTTTTGAATCAGTGGGTGTTTTCACTGTTTGTACCCTTTTTTTGTTGTTTCCAAGCGTCTTTATTTCATGCTTAAGAGACGATGCGTCTTGTACATGTTGGAAATTTAATGAAATTTATTGAAATAAAGAAATGTACATATGTTTCATCTGTTGGAAATTGCTTAAGACATAGATGAAACATCACATGTCGTATCATGTTCCCTGTGAAGATTGCACATGTTGTGGGTACCCTCCGGCAATCAAACATGGTTGGCTGGGATTTCCTCAACGACGTTGGACTATCCGAGGGTACATGGAGGTTTCCTAATTCATGCGGGTAGCCCTAAATCATCCATTTATAGATGGGGATTTTCTTGGATTGTCCAATTTTTTTAAACCAGCCATTTTGGTTACTGTATCCCCAATGGAAACCCCCGACATAAGCCGCGACATGACCCATTTTTCAGACAGCCAGGCTGCAAAAATGTGTCACAGATCTCAATTTTTAGATTTTTGGCTCCAGAGTATCCGCAACACCCGAACCATCGGTGTCATTTCATGATGCTCAGAGTCAGGCAATGGGGGTGTGGGTTTTTGGAGCCTTTGGAGACGAATTTTCATGGGTGACTTCAATTTTATCCAATGAATGAATATACGCAGTAATATATTGTCTTATGTTGAAAATCAAACAAGAAAAAACATAAAAGGGAGGAACAGAAAATTGGAAAATCGAGCAAGAAGAGGGATGTCCGGTTAATGTTAGTCCCGGAAATTGTAAATTGTGGAAAGAATCGGGATTTCAATCACCTAAAAAATGGATTGAATCATGTTGAATCAGCCAAAGTCGAGCTGCTTTTAATCCAACATCATATAATGTGTTGGATTATATATACCAGAAAAGTTATAACGATGCGACCAGCAAATAGGTTTACACATGTTTACAGTAACCTGAACACATTGGAAATCCATCAAAACAAAATGACTCGTTGGTTGATTGCTTCCTCAAAAAACAAGTCCTGTCCTATGTGCTCTCTATGAAAAAGGAAACAAACAAATCCTTAGTCAGTGTTGCTCCGGCCATAGGTCGACAATAGCCACTTCTTGGGTGCAAAATTGGTCATGTTACCCTCTGGTAAACTAACGTAACTATTGAAAATGGCAATTTTTAATGGGAAAATCCACTACAAATGGCCATTTTCCATAGCTATGTTAGTCATTACCAGAGGGTATTACTTATCCAATAGAAATCCCCCGTGAATAGCCGGGGCGTAACTGGCCCCCGTTCGTTCTCACCAGGTCAGTGCTACAGATTGCCCAGCAAGGCACAGCTGCTGAAGCATCCAAGAAATGGCCGGGCCTTTACCAGGATTTTTCACCCAAAAATGATGAACAATGGTTTGTTTAAGCATCAAACTAATATGTGAAAAAATGATGTTGCTTAAGAATCTCTTAAAGGCTGGATTGAAAGAATGAATTCATGATGAATTGGACGTGTTTAAGCCTAAAATTCATAAGGTTTTTCGGAAAACGGGCGTCGTCGTCTTCCACCCGTGGTGCTGCCGGCAATACTTGCCATCCTTGGTGGTTGAAGTCCGCTGTTTCTCGCAGCCAGGGAAGGCAAACTTAATTGGCTTCGTTGTGGGAAACTATACTGCTTGGTGTTTTGAAAGATGTTTATCATTAATAATATTAATATATATTATTAATATATATATATAACCCCCGTCCGGGGTACCTAAATAGAATGGGGGGGCTGAAGCCCCTTTTAAAATAAAACATAAAAATAAAATGAAAATAAAATGGGTCAGACCCCTGCATTGTATTTTGTGGGTGCATTTTATTTTTTGAGGTGCCTAACCCATCAAGTTAACCGACAGAGATAGCATCATAGCAAAGATGCACAACTGTGAACGGCCTGATCATTTTGTGAAACGTTCCAGCGGATTCACGAACGCTAATAAAATGATAACGAAAACGATAATATTTGGCATCAAAAATGGTTCGTGTGAGACACTGTTTTTTTTTCCCCTTTCCTCTCCCTTCCCTTTCCTTTTTCCTGTCTCTTCCTTTTCCTTCTCCTTTCCTTTTTCCTCTCCTTTTTCCTTTCCTTTTTCCTTTCCTTTTTCGTTTCCTTTTCCATTATTTGGACATTAACTTCGAAAATGGGTTGGCCCCCCTCATTTTCTATTGCCTTCCTTGGTCAGCAAAAGACACACGGGCAGCTTACAGCAGCCAATGAGATTTCTTAAGTTTATTTATAGTTATTTGTATCTTTTCTAGAAACCGTCCAGATGTCAGAAGTGGAACCAATTATATATAAACAAAACTAAAAAAGATCAACCAATCAAATAAGGAAACAATGTAAAGGACTAAACAAGACTAAACAAGACTAAACATGGTTAAAACCAATCAAATAAGGAAACGATGTAAAGGACTAAACAAGACTAAACATGGTTAAAACCAATCAAATAAGGAAACAATGTAAAGGACTAAACAAGACTAAACAAGACTAAACATGGTTAAAACCAATCAAATAAGGAAACAATGTAAAGGACTAAACAAGACTAAACAAGACTAAACATGGTTAAAACCAATCAAAGAAGGAAACAAGACAAAACAAGATCAACCCAAAAGAAAATGCCGGGCCCGAGGTCCAACAGTTGCATAACGTAGGTCCACCAGTGGCCAGGTGGAGGGTGCCGACGTCATTTTCTTTTTGTACCTGTCCATTGTATTTTGCTTGGGTTTTCCTATCTTACCTTATGCCCTCTCATTTTATTGGCATTTTCTCCTTAGGCCCCTGCATTTTATTTTATTTTTTTAGGTGCCTCACCCCCCCCCTGGCAACAGACGAGGGTATATATATATATAGATATATACCTAGAACTTCCAAAACCTCTGAAATGGTCGTTCCATTTTGAGAGTACCGGCTTTTAGGTACTTTTTATCAAAACAACGGTTCCCCTGTAAAAACAAAAACCCTGTTGGTTTCCAATAAAGCTTCATTTTGTGTGTGCACTTGCCTTGCCAAGCCTGTGAGGTCATATATTCATTTGCTTAGTTTGCTGCCACAGCCACTGACGATAATGAAATGAAAATCAAAGATCAAGACCAACAAGTAACCAACCCATGCCCGCTGATATCAATAAAAGGGCAGGGTCAGGGCTCAGGGTTTGCGCGGAAAGCGGCTGCTATTGGATCTTGAAAACCAAAGTGGATTCGAACGTTGGATGTTCGAATGGAAAAATGAAGTCGTTTATTGCTGTTCAACCCTTTTTGTTTCGGCTGCCATAATGGGTTTTTTAGGCCCAATTCTTTGCGCGGACAAATTTCACGAGAAAACGGGTCGCTTGCTCATCGTGAATACTGTAATTGTTGCAATTACGCAATTCAAGTTGTTGCGTATGCTCCTGGTATGCAAAAATTGACATTGTTTGTCGGAGCATTTTAGTCGAAGCACAGTGGTAGGGCATGCATTTGAGAAATGTAGGAATAGTTTCCCAACAAAGTCTCTAGCCCGGCACGGCACAAGACACTGGCCGCATGCTGATAGCTACATTGTTGAATTTGGAGCATCAAAGACAAGACTTCATCATGGGAAAGTGCACTAATGGAAAATTGGGAAATTCAAAAAACCTGGGTTTTTGGATAAAAAAAAATAAAAAACATGTTTTTTCCGATTACCTGCCTTTTTAGCGGTTTCAGTTTCCCTTGGTATATAATTATTATACTACTATGTACTGTATATCATATTAATTAATATTATACCCTCTGGTTATTTAACATAACCATGGAAAATGGCCCATCTATAGATGATTTACCTGGGTTTACCTATTAAAAATTGTGATTTTCCATGGCTATGTTAAATAACCAGATGGTATATGTACATGTTTTTGTTTACCCTGCATGATGATCCCCAATGGCACGTAAATACAGTATAGATTTCCTGCAGACAGAACCTCGGGATCTTCCACGAGCCTCGATCCTTTTTTCACAGCGATTTGGTGTCAATGGTGTGGCGTTGCCACCTTTTTCGATGGTGATTTTACCAACGAAAATGCTGAAGTTCATGTTTCATGGTGATCAGTAGTATAGACATATTTCATCGTAATTCATGATCTCGATGCCTCCAAGATTGACCTTCTCAGATTGTTTGGGGCTGGCTGGTTTTTGGGGCCCGCTTTTCTGAGACCGTGAAAAAAAATACTGTAATCCCGAAGCCGGGCAACCGTTGCCACTCAAGTCCCATTGGGGTACCCTTGAACTCGTCGCACAACTGCCAGGAGGTTGGTGCACACGTCGAACCGCCCCAGTGGCACTTCGAAGCTTCGCCGCGCTGCTTGCCATGGAAAGTGAAATACCTGATGGCTTTGACTAAGCCTAGAATCGGATGGTTTAATATCAATATAGATGTCTTATTGCCTTATTTATCCTTTTTTATTCTTGTTTATGCTTATTTATCCTTACTTATCCTTATTTATTCTTATGTATCCTTATTTATCCTTATTTATCCTTATATATCCTTATTTCATACAATTCTAGCAAAATCTTACCCATATTCCAAGGCTGTTCATATTCCATGCCCAAATAGCTCCGGAAATTTGGAAAATAATGAACGACCTTTGATGATGAGAATAAGGTTGTGTGACCCTTGTCAGGCGCTCCCTTGTCACGTGCTATCATGTCCAGTCGCACATGTTTAACCCCGCTGAGAACCTTCTCAAGCAATGATTTCTTGAATAAACATAATCATAAAGTCTTGTTTCTCTCATCAATCATCAGCTTCTCTCTATAGGATCTGTTAAAACCATTGGATAAGCTGTTCAGCTTATTTTTTGACGCGTTTGGCTGGCGGCTCAGCTTCCGCATCTTTAAACGGGCCAAGTCTGGATTACGCTGTTCTTCCTCGAACCCAAATGGTACCATATTTCCACTTAATACAGTTACATTGAGTAGGATGCCACCCCTGGAGTACGATGCCCCCCCCGTATGCGTTGCCGTTCCTGCATGTGGGCTTCTCAGGCATATGTTAATATCATTTTTGATCAACTCGAGGCTGCAAATTCCATTCCACATACCCACAAGGCATCACACTCTATCGCGCACGACTAAGACAACAATCGAGAATTTCCATAGCCTCCACGGGTCAAAAGTATCAAAATTTCATGGAATGCGATTGTATGCGCGACTGTTCAAAACGCTGGAAAAACAACAATTTCCCCCATATTCCATATTATCAGATTCCAGAGCATTTTACCTCCGAAGAGGAAAAAAAATAAAAAAAGCTCTTCAGGTCAATTTTTCGAAAAAAAATGTTTTTGGCTGTCTGCGCAAGTTTTTCTGGTGTACGATCCCTTTTGTGGAGTACGATGATCTGTGAGTAGGTGTGTGGAGTGCGATGGGGTCCTCTGGGGTGCGATGACACCCCTCGAGTGCGATGCGACATGAGTATGCGCGGCCGGAAATCCCCTGAGAGAAGGATTCTGGGCCACAATTCCCCAAATTCAACAGAGTGGGCGGATGCTGGTTGTTGTAATTTAACAGGATTTCAGCCCACAACAAACAAGTCAAACAATCCGTTGAAACCCTCTCCTTCTTCAGTCTCCAAAATGGGAAACTCACTTATCAGGACACGCTTTAGTTCTTCCAGGCTCCATAGCATTTCAGGAACAACACAAGGCATCGACATGGTGCCAAACAATTTCCAAATTGAGCTGAAAGGTCTTCCCATCGCAACCAGTCAATTCACAGGTGTGAAACATGTTACACACAGGGAAACAGGTTGGGAAAACAGTGGGTCCAAAGAGACAGGTCTGGAGCACGATGGATTCATAGTATATGTACATTTTCTGAATTTGGGTAACTTGGAGCTAGAACAATGAGCATTTTGGTCTATCCCCCAATTTCTGACAAAGGAAAACTGTTTGTCCTATTGTACATGGGAGCTGTTTGCTTGCTCGATGTCCATTTGCACCAATGAACAGTTTGACCCTGAAACTTGCAGAAGAGGAGCAGAGTCCGTGTTCGTTTGAGAGAGGGTACCCTCCAGTGTCATCAAACGTGGCAATTGAAAAATGATTTTTAGTTGAATGTTTTTGTTACGTTTGTTTCTTAAATGGTATTGATGGGACAATCACCTCTATACCGATCATAAAATACGCAAAAGTGGATGGTGGTTTTGATATGTTTTGATCGGAAGACCATACCAATCCACCAGAAATGGCATAAACCAGCAATTTCTGGTGGTTTTTACCATGGTTTTACCATGTTTAAACCAGAGGGTAGCTATTGCCCTGGACCTTGTTGGATCCACCCGATGGGAATTTTCTGGGAATCCAAGCAGAATTTCAGCGCTGCGAATTTGTTGGTATGGTTGTACCAAAGGTTGACTAAAGAACCTTTACATGTCTTACTCAAGATTCATGATCTTTATGCTATTCTTATCTATTCTTTATGCTCATTTGTGCTATTCTACTCGGCTACAAAAAATGGGGGCTGGAAAAATATCAGGCAACTGACCAACAAGGCGTATAAACAGATCAGTTTGTTTCAGAAAGTTCGTTTTTGGGCAGAAAAGGTCTAGATTCCAATCTCAAGATCCAAAGTCAGAGATGGAAAAAAACTGCACAGTTCCTGCCTATTGACTTCAATGAGATATGTTGTTTTTATCCCTGTGAATTTGTGGTGATTGGGGACCCAATTGATTGCCAGGTTTGATCCCTGGGATGACCACATTCAGATCTTGCCCAGCAAAACCATGGCCACATGCTGAAATAAGAAATCCCCTTCTAAATCCCCAACTGGTTGGTGGTTTGGAACATGAATTTTATTTGTCCATATATTGGGAATAATCATTCCAACTGACTAATATGTTTCAGAGGGGTTGAAATCACCAACCAGCCAATGAATTGAGAATCTCCTCATGTTTCTCAGAAAAGGCGCAGATGCTTCGGCCCCCCGAAACTTCCGAGGCTTCCAAAGCCCCAGCGAGATCCAGAACGACCTCTGAAACCTGCTACACCCTGGCTCTTGTTCCTGCAGGCGGCTCCTTTGTTTAATGATTGGTATTGCCATCAGAACAGATTGGGATGTGTCCCAATATTTTCCTTTGTGACTCCACCATTTTGTTGGTGAACTAACATGAACATCAACTAACATTGATAAACTTAAACAAACATTGACTAACATCTAGCAACCATTTAATGAACCACTGTTCTTGCTGGCACTTTCCTTGAATTGCCAGGATTTTCGCGCAGATGCCACGACGCGGAATACGTTGAAGGCGAAGGAGGTTATGACAGCAGCGGCCAAGAAATGGTGCGATGGCCAAGTTGCAGCTGTGTTTCATTTGGGACGTGTTAGGACGTTTGTCTTGTGGATTATTTGATGGCACTTTACATATATTTATTTATAATTTATACTATGTTATTTATATATATATATATAATTTATTTATATTATATATTTGTATCTATTCAGTTATTTATATGTTTATATATTTACTTAGTGGGATGGTGAAACAATGTTCAACTTAGACGATGTTTGATGGTGAAACAACTTTCAACTACTGTAAATCGCTTGATTGTGTTTGATGTTCATCACTGGAAATCGCGAGGAGATGTCGTGTGAATTTAGACATGAGTTGCCCGAGGCGTGAAATGCCTTCGCCTGACAAAGAAAAATACGAGGCGAGTTGGGCCAGAAGGGAGCGTTGTGAGAGAATGTCTCTCAAAATTACTCAAAATGTGGATTTACCATGATTTACCCTCCGGCAAACTAACATAACTATGGAACATCACCATGTCTAGTGGGAAAAATTATTTATATGTGGTTATGTTCCATATATTTCCATATTATAGGTTAGCAGAGGGTACCCATTTTTTGAATGGTAACTTTCAAGAGGGAAATCGAGAGATTTCCCAGGATTCAGGGATGTTGGTGCATTCCAGAATTCGGAACCCCGGAAGCTAGAATGCGTTTGCTATAATTAAGAAAGATTCATCAGGGATGTTAGGGCCTTGAAATTGCAAACAGCACCCCTATCCGGCTCATAGGTTCAGGCTCTTCAGGCTGCTTGAATTATTGACATCATTTGTGATGAGCATCAATGGAGGCTTTTCCATTATACGTTTCTCATAAGGTACATGTGAAACGAATGACTCGAATGGAAATTAAAGGTTCGGGGGAACAGAATTTCCGTCCCTTGAATGGAGACCATGATACTCATCTCAATGAATGTCTTGATGTTCTGGGTCTCATAGCCACTTTGTACATCACTCGGGGCTCACATCGTCCATGGATTCTTTCCTGGCTATAAGTCTATATATCCATGATTTGGTGCTCACATGTGCTCAGCAGTGCTGGTGGCGAGCCTGGCGAACCATTTTGAATTCCTACTCGACACCCTGCAAAGCTTCAAAGTGGGGCCCCAAACGATCCGTAAGTTCTGTCTAGTCCCACGGATGGGTTCATTGGTGCTGCTTGGTGCTTTGAAATACTTTCCTGGTTTTCAGGGAGGTGGCCCACCCACGCTTGGAAGGGTGAAAATAAGATCTGAAATAGCCTCTGGTAAACTAACATAGCTTTTGAACATGGCCATGTATAGTTGATTGATGGTGATTTATGTTGATTTATCTATTAAACATTGAGATGTTCCATGATTTTCCATCATTCTTACGGAAGCTATAGTTTACCATATTAGTTAGTTCACCGTATTGGTTTTTCATCATTATTATATATTATTATCATGAAATATACTTTTCAACATGTCCACCTTGGATGGTTGGAACTCTGTAAAAATTACTTGGCGGCTCATCCCACTTAGTAAGTGGGTTATAACCTCTGTTATAAATGGGATAAGTAGGGTTAATCCACTTATACTTGGGGTTATAACCCACTTACTAAGTGGGATGAGCCACCAAGTAGGGATGTTTACCATCTATAAAAACTGTTGATTCGGATTTCGCAGGCCCATCCAAAGGAAATGTTAGTTGGATCCATACCCATGACGGACACGGCTGGTGCTGGTATATATATATATATGCTAACGTGACTGGGGTTAATCTTGATGGTGAATGTTACATAATGTTACCATATATAGCAGCACCATGGATCCGTCATGGGATAGGCTAAGCCGCTAAGTTATCGGTTTACGACGCCTGGGATAAACAGGAACCACTGGAACCACAACGCCAGGCCCCTGCGAAGGTGGCGAAAGAGAAATACGACGAAGCCATGCCGCTGGGTCAACGGCTACGTTAAACATGGCCCTTTGATGGGAAAATCGAGGAACATATTATAGGAATTCATAGGATATATATATATATATATAATGTATATATATATAACATATGTAAGCGATATATGTTCATATAATATGAACATATATCACTTACACGATCATCATAATTATAGTGTTCTTCTGAAGTAGAGTATCCTTAAGAAATCCAAAAAGAAATCGATGTTCTTCGCCCTTTCGCTGGTTTGCGGCCCTGGAAGGAGATGGCTAGCAGCTGATGAAACTAAGTTAAAGATATGTTATATAACTATCACCATCTATAATTTGTAGCAAGTTCAAGTTGTTTAAGTTTTGTATATTTAACCAAATCTAGTTATTATTATCTATAGCCTCTATAGCTATCTATAGCTATCTAGAACTATTTAACTAAAAATAACGACAACTACAACTGACTTAACTTCTTGATGGACGTTTATAACAAGACTTTTACGTTTGTAGACGTCGAACCTTTCATTCATCAGAGAGACCGGAAGGGATTATCCAACCTGGCTGAGGATGCTGTACCCCATTTGGTTCAATGATTTACCTTGATGATCCTTGATGTGTTATCATTGTTACCATTGATGTGTTATCATTGTTATCATTGTTATCATTGCCAGATATTGCCAGCTCAGATTGCCACATGGATATTTCCTAACATACGAGAACCCCGAGATTCCACATTTTCCCATGAAAGTTCATAGAAAGACTAGCAATAACTTTGATGAGTTGGGATCCCTCATTTCAGGAACCCCAAAATAGGTGCTAATCTATCTATACCCTCTGGTAATTTAACAATTGTTATAGCTATGGAAAATAGCCCATTTCAACTGGTCTACTGCTGGACTAAGAATGATGAGAACATCAACTGAAAAACGCGAAATCCACCAGGAAAAAACCCAATTTGGTGATGGTGAAACCATGGAAAAAACCAACAAACTTTCCCATGAAATCCCCCAGACCCCCGATGCTTTCGCGGTGGGAACCGATGAACCAAACCCATCCAAGGAAGGCATATGTGGACTCGGGCAAGAAGGCGCCAAAATCTTAAGGGATTCTCCGACCTCACAGGTGATGTGTTTTTTCGACCAAAACTAGGAGTGTGTTTGATCATTAACATATAGTTATATAGTTATATGGTAGTTTAAACATATTTTAACAATATAACGAGTTAGTGATTAACGGATCACTTTTTATGTTGTTGGCATTTGGTTGGCCATGTTAATTCATGAGTATGTTTTTGTATTAATAATGAATGGATTTGACGAAGATAACTTTAGTATCTACATGGGTTTAAGTCCACCATTTTGGAGTCTATGAAGAGATGATCCCTTAAGATCTCAAGAGATGCGTAGGTTGGAGAGGGAGCCAGGTGATACTGTGATACCCCCAAGTCTTTGCCTATGGCTGAGAGGATCGAAAGGTTGAATGCAATCCCACACGCATTTGGTGCTTGACTACGCATCTGAGCCCAGCCACAAGCTTGTAGACCTTGTGTGCTTACAAGCTGAGAGCCAAGTGATGTGTTACCTTTTTGATTGTGGCTGTGTATATCAAGAGAAGCCGAGATCATCGCAAGAAGGAACCATTTGTTTCTGTTGACACCGGCAACCTGAAGTTGTCCAAGTAAGAGAAGGAGCTGAAGGTGGACCCAACTGGAGATCTTCGTGTCAGGCGATGTATGCAACGTCGTGCCATTGCATACCCTCTGGTAAACTAACATAACTATGGAAAATCACCATTATTAATGGGAAAATCCACTATAAATAGCCATTTTCAATAGCTATGTTAGTGATTACCAGAGGGTATCACTTAGCTAACATTGCAACGTACGTTTGGTGTTGGATCAGTTCACTGCAAAGTTTTGTTCACTATCTTGCCAAGGTTTATTCACCTTGATTCTTGTTCAATGGAGTTGCTCATTAAGTGGTGATTTTTACCATTTTAAAACTGGTGATTGAAAACAAACATGGGATTCAAGCAAAAGGGGGAATTTCAATGGGATTCTGGCTGGAATTTAAGTGACTTGTCAATTTATTGGATCGAATCCCTTCCCCGTTTTGATGAAACACCCCGCAGAGTCGCCATGGATTTTTTTGATGTGGAGGATGGGATTTTCATGCGTTCCATGGAGAATTTGTTATCATCCAGAAGAGACCTATCCGCTAATTATATAGATAACTTAGATATAATATAGAGAGATATCCATCTCTAGATTCCTATGAAAATCCCATTAGCTTCTGGTAATGACTAACATAGCTATTGAAAATGGCCATAGAAATAGTGGATTTTCCCATTAAACATGATGGATCTTTCCATAGTTATGTAAACGTTTACCAGGCCGGGTAATTACTGTAGTACATAGCTTTGCTTGTCAGATCTTTCATCGGATTAGCCACGAGGTGTTCTCCTTGTTGGGCTCCCAGGGTCCAAGAAAAAGCCTCTGGTTATGACTAACATAGCCATGTGAAATCCCCAAAAATAAATGGAGTTGTTGTTTTTTTTTTTAATGGGAAAATCATCTATTTCTATGGGCCATCCATTTTTCATTGCAAAGTGTTAGTCGTTTAACCAGATGGAGGGTCTAGTAATACATTGATGGCGAAGTCGTTAGGGATGGTTTTTCTCTCCTCACCAATCACAGTTCATGTGTTTTTTTTGCGGTAAAGCCCTGATGTGTCATGGCCAAATGGGATCCATTCTTGGGAATAGCTCTGTTTGGGATGATTCTTGAGCCAAAAAAATATGGCTTTTGCCCAAAATCCAATGGTTTATCACACTTTTTTTACTGCGTGAAACTTGTTTGCCTTCTAGGGCTTTACCGTATGCTGAATGATCATGAATGATGATTTTTTTAGAAACACCCTCATGTTTGGAAACGAATGACGTCTGGCGTCTCTCCATAGCGCTTCCAGTGTCCAGGATGCCTGGAAAAGAGATCCCGAGCGCCCAAAGAGGCCTTTGACTCCCTGGATGAATTTCATACAGGACTGTGAGCTACCATGATCCGTGAGGAATTCAGGATGAACCAGGGGCTATTGGGCTATTCTTTGGGCTTCAAAGATGTTCCAAAGGTGTTGTTGATGTTCCACTGTCGTTTGTTGTACACATTGCCTTCTCGCTGTAAGATCTTCTCGGGAATCCCTGAAGGGGCCTCGCTTGGCACAGATCCATTGGATCGCCTTTTTTTGGTGCCAACCGTGCTGGTGCTTTCACCATGGTGCAGCCAAGTTTGGACGGATTCCCAGAACCGTAGCTTCCGCTGCATGGATTGCACTGAGGGTGTCAGGTCAGGTCCCCTTTTTTGGACCTCGAAATTTTACAGTGGGAGACGTGTTGTTGATCAATTTTACTCCAGCAAGATCATGAAAGCTGAGACATGCTGAGATCATTAGAGTTACCTCTGATTGTGGGTGATGGAGGTCATCAGCGCGGTGAGTTTCCATTTGCCGACACAGTCACAGACAGCAAATACATGGCATCCCGTGGCCATGTGCAGATTATCGAAGTAAATGGTCATGTTTCATCGCAAACTGTGAAGTCTCAGTATATCTCAGTTAGGTATTCTGGTTATTTCTGGTTGGTGGTTTGGAACATGGCTTTTATGACCTGTTTATGACTTTCCGTGGATTGGGAACAATAATCCCATGTGATGTTCATATTTTTCAGAGGGGTTAGCAGCAACCACCAACCAGTTATAATCATCACTAAATCTTGGAACATATTAATGGTAACAATGGTTATACCATGTTATACCCATAAACATAACACAACATAACTATTGAACATGGCCATAGAAAGTTTCCTGGTGGTCTTTGACTGGTTGACATGATACGAAAAAAGTGGCCCCGATTTGTTGAGGAGCACAGGCAGAGCGCCTCAGGATCTGTGACGGAGGCCGCGTGGGAATGGGAAATCCAGTTGGGAATTTTTTATAGGGCCAGAAGTATAGGGCCCATGATGGGGAATATATGGGAATATTCAATATTTTTTTGAGGGTGGATGGTTCTAGACAGGCAAATCTAAGCGTTTGGATAAACATTCTATTCCTGATTTCATGTGATTTCATGTGTACCCTCTGGTAAATTAACATAGCCTAACATAGCTATGGAAAATCACCATTTTTAATAGGTAAATCAACTATAAGTGGGCCATTTTCAATAGCTATGTTAAATTACCAGAGGGTAATTCGCTACTTGCGTGGCAGTTGACTTCCAATGACCGGGACGCAGGGATTGGCTGTGCCAGCTATGGGTTGGACGCAGTTCATCAGCCTCAAAAGTTGGGGCGGGCGGCCATCGTAGAAACTGAGGAATTGTGCCCCATTTTGTGTTATATTACAGTTAAATAATGTAAAATAGATAATACACCAAACATATCCAAACATGATGACTTAAAATCACCAATCTCATGAATGAAATCACCAATCTTCGGAGTCAAATCACCAATCTTTAGGACTTAAATCGCTTCTTATACGACCACAATCACCAATTGTAGGAACTAAATAGCAATTGACATGTAAGGACTCCAAGTCGTTCAGCAGGTAGTGAAGAGCGGTGCAGCGAAGTGGAAGAACCTGAGCGACATCGAAAAAAAGGGCCACTTGGCAGCCATGGCCAGCTGAATTGACCACGGAAAATGGTGAAATGTGGTGGTTGAACTATCAACGACCATCAAACATGATCTGGTTGGTGGTTTGGAATATGATTAACATCATTTTCCATGTCAACCGCGCTTCAGCGGCTTTTGAGCGCCCAAAACAGCTGGGCTGGCCGCGATGAACACATACCATTGATTCCGCGATGACGATGATTTTGTTTTTTCCATATATGGGAATTTCATCATCCCAACTGACGAACTCCATCATTTTTCAGAGGGGTAGGTGGCTCAACCACCAAGCAGTGATGAAACATGTGGGTTTTGTATGGGTTTATGGCGGTTGCACCGGTTGAACCCTCAAAATAACATTGAGAAACAGAGGATTTAACCAACAAACATGGTAAACAAATGCTGGTTTAACCACCCAAAAAAGCTTGGGAAAAACAGTGATTGAAACATTCAAAAATGATGGAAACATGATGGTTTTTCACTATCAGCAGTTGTGAAGAAAAATCCGGATTTCACCATTAGAAACACGGGCGCCCTGGCGAGCAGCTGGTCCAACTAGATCGGGATAGTTGGTGGCTTGATTTTTCAACACAGATGGGTATACAACTTGCCATTGATGGGGATACTCTGCTGGCAATATTTCCAGAGAGTTCTGTTTGGGCTTTCATTGTCTTCTCAGCCGGGATGATATGATGATCCTGTTGTTTTTTTCAATGTTCTACCAGGGTGACACTGGTCAAGCCACAGAGAAACTCAGATCGGTCCTTTCTGGATACAGACTTGAGACTTTAAATCGAACCAGTGCAGGGATTTGTAGTGAGTTGAATCGAAAAAAAGGGGTTGTGCCAACTAAATCTCAGAATGATCATATGATCTTAGTGATGTTCCAGCAAAAAATTGCCCTCAAAATTTCAATGTCAACAACTTTGTTCAACTGGGTTCATCAATTTCATCAACTTTCTTCATAAATTGTCTACCTTGGTGCAGCTTTCTGCAGGCTATGAAGTTGGTTATGCAGAAGCGAAGGCGAACGGAGAACTGCCGGCACTTGGAGCTAAGAATTGAGTTTCCAAAAGCCACCAGGGATTCACAGTCGAGAATTGATTGTTTCAGTACCCTCTGGTAATTTAACATAGCTATTGAAAATGGCCATTTATTGTGGATTTACCCATTGAAAATGGTGATGTTCCATAGCTATGTTAAATTACCAGAGGGTAACGGATTCAACGTGATGAACAAAATCCTCCAGTGACGTGTCAATGAATTGATGACTGGTTGGTGGTGACTGGAACATGAATGTTAAAGTTTTCCATATATAGTTGGGAATAGTAACCCCAACTGACGAACTCATTTTTTTTCAGAGGGGTTGCAACCACCAACCAGATGAGAATGATGAATCATTGGATGTTGGGGTTCGCCAAGCCCAACTGCAAGGACAAGATCATCCCCAGTTTTCGTCATCCCTGATTTTAGGTGTCATGACAAAGCCACATGGCTGGATGGAAATTCCAGGGATTTGGAAAATCGAAATCAGTGATAATAATCCATTATTAAAATATCCATTTAATTAAGATCAATAAATGTCAATAGCAGTGATCGAAACCAGGCATTCTGGGATAATATTATATAATATTATACAATATTATATAATATATATATAACATGACATGCGTGATCATTCAGGGAAAATGATAATATGAAAAAATGAATTAATATGGTGGTCCAGTGGGTGGATTTTCCCATGGATGGTCATGAATCCATAGGATGAATGCTAGGAGCACGACACACAAGCTGAGGGCCCAGAGGTTTACCCTCTGGTAATGACTAACAGGCACTGCTATCGCGAAGCCTTGCCAGAGGATATACGTATTTTATAGTGATACTTGTGTAGTGCGAGATCTTCTGTTTCCATGTTTCCCTCAACTTACTAACGAAGTGGTTGGTAGCTTGTGCACACCTCAAATTCTGACTGGTAGTCATGGGATCATATCCTGGAATACAACAGGGCTTTGGCTTCTACAGTCTGACTGATCATTTACTCTGGGTTACATGAAATGAAGTTACTCAGAGGATCATCCCAACATTGCAGCAGGCATAGTTTCAGTTTTTGGTTTCACCAGAGTTTTAAATGGAATGTTTTTTCAAGCGAGCCTGGGGACTTATATAAAAGTCAGTCAGGTTTAAGTCCATTACAATCATTCCGAGTAATTCAGATTTAGCAATTATCTAGAAATTCAGATTTAGCTGACTTAAATGATGTTAAAGTAATTCAGAGTAATGTCGCAGGTCATTTTTTTGTTGTGGATCATCTGCAAATCGACCCCTTTAAGCTGGTGGTGTCCCCCGGAAAGCACCGTCCAGGAGAAGTACGCGCAAGCCATGAAGGCGTACAAGGTCGACACGGCTGTGGCTGGGATGTTTAAAGTGGAAATTCACAAAGTATAGTTGTCATTTTAGATCGTTTTAGTATATATCATGGATTATACTAAATTCTAAAACTCACAATATATATATGGGAGCCGTCCGTAAAAGCAGGTCACAAATTTATGAATTGATGCGTTTACTTTGTTTTGCGCGATTGCTAAAACCTGCATCGCGATAGGCTGAGCGATTGGTTGGCGATTGGTTATACGGCTACCACCCTATTACTACTACTACTACTAGTACTACTACTAGTACTACTACTAGTACTACTACTAGTAGTGCTACTACTACTACTACTACTACTCGTACTACTCGTACTACTTTTACTACTAGTACTACTACTACTACTACTACGACTACTACGACTACTACGACTACTACTACTACGACTACTACTACTACTACTAGTACTACTACTACTACTACTACTACTAGTACGACTACTACTACTACTTCTACTACTACTACTACTACTAGTACGACTACTACTACTACTTCTACTACTACTACTACTAGTACGAGTACGACTACTACTACTGCTGCTACTGCTACTACTACTACTACTACTACTACTATAATATTATTATCCTATCTGCGCGCCGGGCGCCCGGCGCGCCAATCTACTTCGATATTGCTACTAGTATTACTGTTATTACATCCACACTAATTAGTAGTAATATTACTACTATTACGGCTACTGCTACTACTACTACTATTGCTGCTGCGGCTACTACTAGTACTACTATTACTATACTACTACTAGTACTATTACTACTACTGCTACTACTACTACTACAACTACTACTAATACTACTCTATATTATCCTATCTGCGCGCCGGGCGCCCGGCGCCGGACGCCCGGCGCGCCAATTTACTTCGATATTGCTACTAATCTTATGTTATTACATCCATACTAGTATTGTTAATATTATTACTACTACTACTACTGCTGCTACTACTACTACTACTGCTACTACTACTACTACTGCTACTACTGCTACTACTACTACTACTACTACTAGTAGCTCCTGCCGATCACTTTAAGCGGTTCCACCAACAGAAGCGGGTGTACCCCGGACCGGACGTATTCTTGGGGGGAGCGATCCAGGGCCTTGCGCAACTTAATGCATACCCCTAAAGGAATGCGTCGAAAACAGAACGGGGCTGGTGATCGGTAAGGAGGATAGTTAGATACCCGAAGCTATTACAAGCCAAACGCAATCTCTCTCTCTCTCTCTCTCTCTCCCTTGCCTATTCCCTCACCCTCCCATCAGAACTCCTACGCCTACTCCTATTGCAATTTCCACTACCACTACTGCTAGTGCTACTGCTACTGCTAGTCCTGCTGGTACTACTGTGAGTTTTCCGGACCGTTTCCGGACCGCGCAAGCTTATTTTGCTTCCAAATTTGAAATCGAATGCGTTCACGCATGGATCCTTACTCCCACTACTAGATTTGCTACTACTCTTAGTACTACCACCACACCCGCTGCTACTGCACCACCACTACCACTAGTACACCTAGGAATTTCTGCTCTTGCTTTTAAATCCAATTGACACGAGTTCCGCTGAAGGGTCAGAAACGAGTCAGAAACCAGTCAGAAACCAGTCAGAAACCCGTCAGAAACCGGTCAAACGCAACCATCTGTTTCCCCCTCCCTCCCTCTCTCTCTCTCTTCTCTCTTTCCCTCCCTCTCCCTTTCTTCCCTTGCCCTGCTACTAGAACTCCTTCTCCTATTCCTACTCCTACTCCTACTCCTACTCTTACCCCTCCTACTACTACTACTACGACTACTACGACTAGTACTACTAGTACTACTAGTACTACTAGTACTACTAGTACTACTAGTACTACTAGTACTACTGCTGTACTACTGGTACTACTGTGAGTTTTCCGGACCGTTTCCGGACCGCGCGAGCTTATTTTGTTCCCAAATTTGAAATCGAATGCGTTCACGCATGGATCCTCATTATATAATACATAACTTATATTTTATGTATATGATCTGATCAACGAAGAACAAACCCTTCCGCGATTGCTCACTGTGGTACCGCGGTTGCTACGCGATTGGCTGAGCGATTGAGGGCTGTCCGGGAAAAGGTATTTTGGACAACCCCCATATATATATATATGTATACATACATAATTATACATATATATATATATTATAACATACTAAACTAGATCAATATACATTATATACAGTATAATGTATGCTCGTGTTTTCTTTACACGGATTACTATGATGGCATAAAGCAACTGTATGTGGAAAAGGATCCTTAAAGCAAACATTCGTACGCTTCATTCTTGGCCTTCCCACACTTTATGTGGGTGTGGCCCAAAGATAGAGCACCAACGGTCCAGCAAAACTGGTCTTGTTTTGAGCAGCGGAACTATCGGAGGCCCCAAAAAATGGACTCTTAAACCACCATTGATGATAGATATCATAGTTTGGGGATGGTTCAATCACTGTTTTTTCCAACCTTTTTGGGTGGTTAAATCAGCATTGGTTCACCATGTTTGTTGGTTAAACACCATTTTTTTCTCACAGTTCTTGATGGTTCATATACAACCATATAAAACCCATATAAAACCATATAAAACCATATATAACACCATATAAAACCCACATGGTTCATCATGTTTGATGGTTAAAAACCACCACATCGATCCCATACCACCTATTTTTCCGCATTTTTCGTGGCGAGGACTCCGGCAAGGCTGCCGCCTGGGAGGAGAAAGTTGGCATTGCGAAGGTGAAGGCGAGGCCGACGTTGGGGTTGCCACTGACTCAATGTATCATGAATTATAATTATATATCATATATAATTATTTTCAATGGTTATTTGTGGTTAGTTTTATATATATATATTTATTAGTAGTTTTAGATGTTTGATTATATTTACAATATGTATATATAATATGTATAATACGTTTTTAAATGTATTTTGGTGCATTTATATATATATATATATGTGTACGTATATGTATATACACCTGCAAAATCCACCTGTTCTGAATTTCAGCCCCTTAGCGAAGGGTACGCAGTTACACGAAGAGAGTATATTTGATATATGATTCAAACATGTGTGTAAGTGCTTCATGCAGTAGCAGCCCATGACCGCAGCTACACCCGACCATGAAGGTTTTGCGATCATTTGTTCAATCTCGTCCCTGAAACATCTTAGAACTCTAACAGAAGACTGACGTCAAACCTGCCAAAAGATATCTCTGGACTGATAAAAGGCTCCAGAAGAAAAAAAAATAGGCCATGAGATAAAAAGGCAGATTTGGGCTTAGGGACTAAAACACGAAACCCTCAGGAACATTCAGGTATGCAGTTGGTGTTTTCCTGCTGCAAGGCTAAGAAAACCAGCAAAGATCTCAAGGCGTGATTCGCAGGGGTTGCCTTTTTCAGGAAAATCTACATGAGCCCCTGCGCCATAATTAGCAACGTTTGGAGGTAAAACCATGGTTTGTGAAGAAAAAAGATCTCTCTCAGGTTGCATTTTTGTCAGAGTTGGGGGTGATCTACTACAAAATGGTGGTTCAAGTTTCACCATGCAAAATGGATGTGAAGTAACAAAATCAGGGATATCATGCATCAAGAATCTGGACAATGAATGACAACTTCACGGCATAAAGACTGCCACAGAATAGAATGGCCCGGAAGATTGTGCCATGCTCTTGAAAAGCTTTGCCCTCCTACTTGCCTACTCAAAATACCTCAAAAGATGACCCAATCAAGACTTTGTGCGGAGGATGGGACGTAGTGCAACTCCTCAGGCCAAGGAAAAGAAGATGAAAGCCAAAGAACAGGCCAGACGCCTGCGCTGTTGAATGTACCGAGGATCACGGAGTTTTGAGCGTTAGCTGGGGTTAGTTCACCCACTTACAACGCTGATATACAATCTGGGAGAAGCGAAATGGGGGGGGAACCACTGAACCGATCCGTGGAATGATGGTCCTATATGGTCCTATAGCAACCAGAGAGAGTTCGTTTGGAACTGGCTTGCGATGAGTTCCGCTCACCGAGCTTCTTCGCGAATTTTCCATGAATTTCCATGGTTTTCCAGGTTTTCCACAACTTAAAAACAACTTAAAAACAACTTAAAAACAACATACAAAAACACCTCACATTCTCCCTTCCTGTTGGGAGGTAAACCATGGTAAACCATTCTACATGTCGGATTTTGTTACCTCCAATTCAGCGGGATGAAGAGACATGGCGCAACCGTTGGCTTCGTCATTGGGGGACACCAAAAAATGATCGATGTTTGGCTGTATATGTAATATATGTATATATATATATATATATGGGTATGGATCAATACCTATGAAAATACCATTTTTAGGGGGATGAACATCCATAAATCCCAGCTATTTTGATGTGAACTACAGGGGTACAAGGTTTTGACACACTGCCATATATATATATATATGTATATATATATATATATATGTGTGTTTGGCATCAACTTTAATCGGCAAAGCGTTGATGCTTTTGGGGTAGGCCATTGTTTGACCCCCAACTGGTGGGCTCAAGCATCACCAGTCATCAGACGCTGTGATGGCTGTAATGTCCTGAGGCCAAATTGAAGAAAGAAAAAGACAAGGGGAAAGTCATTGCCTCAGAAATGCCATGTGGGGCCCCGTAAACGAAATCGCTAAGTTGGGGTTCACATAACTCCAATTTCACTATGGTTTATGGTAGATATATCGAACTAGTTACTATGGTTTATAAACCAACAAACATCACTGGGGGGGCACCACGTTGTGCCATCATGACTCACAGTGCCAGGACCTGCCATACCATCGTGCTGCTGGGACATCGGACATCGATGGATATTTTTGCTGAGTGAGATTGTTGTGAAAACCGCAGGTAATTACTGTAAATGTAGCGATGGGGCGATATCAAAGTTGCCTCTATCGATCTGAACTTTATCCAAAGTGTCAAACTCTTACCTCCAAACTCATCTCCATGAAACTCAACTTCATACAAATTCTCTCCATCCAACTTATGTAATTATGTATATATATATATATGTATCTTTCCAACTTGCCTCTATCAGATTTATCTCTATCCGTTTATCTCTATCAAACTTTCCTCAGCTTTTTCAAGCTGACCTCCATCAAACTCAGCTGGTTCCCGTCAGATATTTTTGCATCTTGTTTTGTGCTATTTGACACCACCCATATCTGCACCTCGCCCTCATTGTCCAATCTCTCTTCCTGACATGTTTTATTGTAGGAAGCTGGTTGGTGGTTTCAAACATGAATTTTATGTTCCATTTCATATATGGGATGTCATCCGAAACCCATTGACGAAGTCATATTTTTCAAGATTGTTTTTTAACCACCAACCAGGAAGTCTTAACATGTGGGCTGTCCAGTTGTTGAGTTTCAAGTCTTTCGGAACTGCCATTTCACAGCCTCGCCAGAAGGAAATTCCGAAACGCTTTTCCCATTCGGTCAAGGCTGTAGCCACAAGGGGGTCCATATGTACATTTTCTCATGCCCGTGAAGGGTAAAATCATACGGGGGTCCATATTTATATACGAAAGTCCATATTTATATATACTATATACATTGTAGTATTGTCACCCCTAAAAAGAAAGACACGTGAATACTAAAATAGTGAGAATTTACTTAAAATATTTTTGGCTGGTTACTATATTTATATACATAATTGTTTTTCCCCAGAAACATCAATACACATAATACACTCTGTTCTGGTTTCACAGATCCGCCATCCGCATTGGCAAAGGCCGCAAAGGCGAAAGCAGTTGCAAAGGCGCCTCTCTTCGAATGCATCAACCCTGGTTTGGATATTGTGCTTTTTTTTTTTAATACATCCATTATACCAATATATACCAAGATACACCCGTTATACCCAGGGAGTTCTGCACCCATTATATCTACTTGCGGATTTATACACCCAATTTGCATCAATTTTGGATAAGTAAGAATACTTGGATATATATATATATATATATACACCCATTATATCGCCAGTATACCAGCATAGTGGATTTTGGTAGCTTACACTTTGGTAAACTAACAGTTTGCGAAGTGGAAAAGTCAGCATCAATTGATAGGGTGCTTCCCCGCCACTGCATTTGCATTGACGCATGATCGAAGCACAAGGACATTGCCAGGTATATATCACCGACTCTTTTTTGGTGGTTTCTTTTAGTGTTTTCACAAGTTGCCTGGTGCACTAGATTCATGGTGATCAGTTTTCCATGTTTTCCCATTGGATGTCCATGGGATTTCCATTGGATTCCTGCTGAGTCAGGCCAAAAAGGCAAAGGAAGCTGAAAAGGTGGGAGGTTTTGGGAACCGCGGTGCAGGTCGTGAAGGAAAACTGGAGGAAAACTAGGATGTTTTCATGGGAAACCATAGGAAACCATAGGAAAAATGGTGATTTAACCAACATAAATGGCAGTATCATGGGAATATAATGGATATGATGGGACAATAACTTGGTAAATTATAGTGACCTCAAGTCGTGAGCGAACCCTGGAAATCATGGTTAGTAAGGGATATAAAATCATCCCCAAATGGCCGCAAGTTTCAGGTTAGTGAAATGGTATGATTTATATGATTTATATGATTTACCCAGTTTAGAGGGTTTGTAATGTATATATCGTTCGATAAGTGTCAAAACTGGTAGGTGGCCATGTGGGTTGAGACTCATTGATGGGGGTCAAAAATGATGATCCAAAACAGAAAAGAAAACGTGAATAGATATTAAGCAGATCGACATCCAAAACTGATATCATTTGTTGGAACTGATTGGAATCCAAAATAAAATCATGATTTGGAATTCAGCCATCAGCTGCGGATAGTAAGTTAGTAGTAGCTTATTTTGAGATAAACTCATATATATATATATATTTATCATCAGTTGGATTTATCATAATTGAACTATAGTTCACATGTGCCGTGGTCAAAACATGGTTTGCTTTCTCATAGAAGGGGATGGTCATACACCCATCAATAGGGTTTTTCATGTACCCATTGTAATGATTCGCAACAAAAAGGATTGATGACCATAGCCCAAAAAAAACATGGACATTGACGATGGCACATATGAATTCATAGCTGTATTTTATGTAAATCTATAGGGTTTCGGGATGAACCACGTTGATATTGAGCGTTCATATGGACCCATGGTAACTGGTTGATGTCGACAGGGTTCCTAAGTCCCCATGATGTTGTCCCCAGTTCGAACTGGGTGAACTATGGTAAATTAAGCTGATTTCCTCACCATCTACCCATATGCTCCATGGTGCTGGAATATTTACCAACATGTGCCCGAACAAAATCACCCAGTTTTGTAGGTAGGTAAATATACCACCACCATGGTTCGCATGTGGGATATAATAAATGAGATCAAATGATCCTCCACATACACAACCAGAGTGGCAGCCCCCAAGTTGCGGTGAGAGACTTCGCCTGCCGGTCCAAGGCTTGTTTGGCTTCCGATGGCTGTTTTTTGTCAGTGAACCAGCCAACACGGAAGTGTCATCCGTGTCATCCATGTTTCATCCATATTTGTCTGCAGATATATACATGGAGCACATAGGATACCTTCAGCCATCAGTAAATATGATTTAAATATGTGACAAACTCAGGAGTTTGATCGATGCGAAGACTCTTCGGAAGATCTGAGTGAAGCCGATTGGTTGTTGGATCGTGCAATGACACTCTGAGTGAAGCCGCAGGGTTTTTATCATCCACGTGATACCAAAATCTACCAAACCATGATGCACATAAAAACAAAAATCAACAATTTCCAGTGGCAAAACCTCTCCAAATGATGGATAATGATGGTATGTTCTAGGATTTTCCATGGTTTTCCCAGCAAAAAACAGATGTTCAAGCAGCCATTCTCCCAGCTCACTTCCCCTCCATTCGGGACGCCTCCGACTCCGTCATGGCGAGATGGGCGGCCAGAGCAGTAAGGAAAAGTTGAAGGGTGCCCGGCGACGAGCTTCCCTGAGGGCCGGCGAGCTTCAGGCGGTCCCACGGGTGGTGTATCGTGTTTTTTTTCATGGAGGTTTCCATCAATTTTAGGTACCCCAAAATCATCCAAGTTATTGCTGATGATCAAGCTTTGGGGTCGCCATATTTTAGGAAACACCCATATCAACGGACTTATAACTATAGTTTATATGACAATAGTTTACAATAGTGTACAACAACAGTTATAGTGATGGTTCACAGCTGGTCTATAGTATCTATTGGTCACTTAGTAGGAAGGGTTTATAAGGGTTTACGGTATTTGTACCTCTAGTTAAAGGGATTCATAGACCAACCCCCATGCATAGATAGGTTAAGTCACGAAACGGAGACTTTTTCACCCACGGTGTGAACCCTGGTGTGAGTTCAAATCCTCCTTTCGTGGCTTATCCCATCAATTGATGAACTAACTTATGGCTATTAAACCACTTACGAGTCGTAGAATTGTCCTCCAGATATGTCCAAAAAAAACATGAAACACAGGGATTTTAACCAGCCAGTAATGGGGATAGAACGGGGATGTAAATCAACAACCATCGTACAACTATACAATGTCGTTTTGGGTGTATTTGTTTTTTTTTCTACATGGTTAACATTGGTTTAACCCATCCTGATTGAATTGTTATAAAATGAGAAGTATACATCATGTTCAGACAAATCCATATTATGTTGGTCATTGTTTTGGTGTTCCCTTCCAATCCTTCCCCCAATCATAAATATAATATATATATATATATATTATATTATATATATACACATACATACATACATACATATATATATATATATATATTGTGTGTATCATTATCAAGTTATTATCCGTAGTATTTTGATTGACGAACATTGACGCACATTTGAAGAACCGGCTAGCCTCCAGCACGTATACAAAAAGCTGGGGGAAATCCACCGGAAATGTAGATCAAATGTAGATCAAATGTAGAGATCCATGGATTTCCGTAGCCTTTTCGATGTTTTTTTCTTGAGGCTACCCCCACAATAACTTGTCCCGGACGTCGATTCTGCCAGGTGAGTGGCCGATATCATCACCTCCCAAGAAAGCTCTCTGATGACTATGATCTCTCGGAGCCTCGTGGGGTTCAGTCATGGCAAGTTGGTGCCCGTTCGGAAGCGCCCTTGGTCAACAGAAGTCCAAGAAGTGTTTGAACTGGACATTTAAGATGAGTAATATAGTCAAGACTGGTGTTATAATCACTCATGGTAGATTAAGAATGATGAAGATGAGTAATATACAAGTATGTCAAACTAGTTTTCGATGAAACTCAATCGACATGGTTTTCTCAGGGAGCAGCACCAAGGGTCGGGAAAAATTCACTGGAGCGTCAGCTGCCATATAGAAGGCTTGTCCAGGTAACCAAACTCTGCAAGGCTTGAAGGGTTTCGAACTATTTCACGTTTATTTCCATCGTTTCCATCAGTTAAATGGGATACGATTTGCTTCATAGTTTATACTATAGTTTATACACGTTGAAACCATTCATCGGTTCCAGACATTGATTCAAGGAAGCTGGCTCCCCCGGGGAATATGCTGTCGGGCTAAATTTGGGGGCCCCAATAATTATATAGATGGGTAATTTTAAACGTATATATATATATATATATATATGTATATTATTATACAAATATACATATATACATATATATATACACGCATATATATGGTCCCGTCCTCCGTCTCTCCACCCCCCCCCCCCCATGGGTTGGGTCCCCAGGTAGTAGCCCCAATTCCCTTCTTTTTGCAAGCTATTGGCAGCATTTCTGAGGTCCAGCGTCGTATTTGCTAGGTCTTTGCAGCATTTCTGACTACCAGCCTCGCATTTACTAGGTACATGCTACCTTTTAGGCGACCTACGTAGCACACATACTCCTTCAAAGTACCTACGTGCTACCTATAGTCATACATACATGTGCTATGTATCTACTGTATCTACTTCCTGTTTACTACCTGTGTACTCTGACAACACTACCTCTGTTGAACATATACCGTACCTACCATACATGTCAATGATGCCATGCATACCATACCTATCATATCTATCATACATACCATACATACCATACATATGAAATGTAATTACCACACCTACCATACATACAATAGCATACATACAATAGCAAGCATACATGCCATACATACCATACCTACCTTAGATAGGACATATTCCATACCCATCATAGTAACCATACATACCATACAGACCATACATACTGTCATATCAAACATACCATATCCAACAGACTTACATACCATACCTACCATCCATACAATACCAACCACTCATGCCATACATACCATACCTACCATACATACCAAACATACCATACTTTCCAAACATGCCATACCAGACCGACCATACACACCATACATACCCACCATACCATACCACACCCCCACCACACCACAGGGGGGGGAGGGGGACAGTGCCACACCCCCACCACACCACAGGGGGGGGAGGGGGAAGATCTCATATGGGACCAGTATATGGGACCCATCCACCACACCACAGGGGGGGGAGGGGGACAGTGCCACACCCCCACCACACCACAGGGGGGGGAGGGGGAAGATCTCATATGGGACCAGTATATGGGACCCATCCACCACACCACAGGGGGGGGAGGGGGACAGTGCCACACCCCCACCACACCACAGGGGGGGAGGGGGAAGATCTCATATGGGACCAGTATATGGGACCCATCCCATATGGGGGGGGGGAGGGGGGGGGTGGCAGGGCCTGGTGCATATATATATATACGCATATATATATACATATACGAATATATATATATATACATATAGTATATATATAGTGTACATATAGTATATATATATATATACAAATATATATATATATACATATAGTATGTATATATATAGTATATATATATATATACATAGTATATATATACATATATATATATACATATAGTATATATATATAGTATATATATATAGTATATATATATATATACAGTGTATATATATATATATTAAATATATACTAATATATATATATTATATATATATACTAACTAAAATCATCTGTGGTCCCTAGTCGGGCTTCAATGGCTTGACACCCCCCAGGACACCGTTCTGGGCTCCGGCTTTTCTGGCAATGTCCTTTTGGCCACCAGCAAGCGGCAGCGCAGCGGCCGATTCGCTGTGAAGAGCATCAAGCTCTACAGCAAGGAAACTCGCAGGACGTCGACAAAAAACGGGGAATTTCAGGGGTTCCTCCTTAGTTGCGAAGGGGATGTCCTTTAAAAAATGTCCTTCAAGTC